CCTCCCTGCCCTCTAAAGTCTATTTTTTTGTTGCACTGAGCTACCTAATGAGGAGACAGCAACCGGCACACTCAGTGAGCCCTGCTGCCAGGGCAGGCTCCTCTGCTCTTGGAAGTTCTGGTGCTTAGTTTGAGTTCTTGTCCTCCTTCTGTTCTCCACTTTAATAAGGCGATTAGGCCCACAATTTGTGAAGTGTCAGCCAAAGGGAAGGATAAGATAAAGTGCTGATGACAGTCATGTTTCTCTTGGGACAGAGAAGTGTTCTGAGAGAGCTCCTTTTTCTCCCCTCTTTCCATTTATTTCCACTAATTTGGCAAAAAAAAAAACAGTTCTACCCTCTCAATGTCAATACCCAGAAAGTTCAGTGAAGATACAAAGTGGTAAATTAGAAACAAATAAATGGAAACAAATTACTTGGAAAAAAGGTTTCTCTCTTTTCATTTTTTTATTTTTTGTTTAGTATTATTCTAGTTTTAAAATATTAGAAACAAATTGTTCATATGGCCTGGGGAATTCAGTGCGTAGCTGGTGTTTAAACAGCTAGTGTCTAAATTTATCAAGATTAAAAGAAAAAAGTGGATCTCTGTATGGAGAACCAGTATCTAGAGCTAGTAATATAGCAGAAAATTCCAAGCTTCATTCTGTAGTTTTTAAAGATACAGATGAATTTTAATGCAGTGGAAAATAATTTCATTTCTTCTTATTAAAAAGTTTCTTGTATTTTTTTCTAATTTATCTAGTTTGGCTTCTGCTGAAGAGATTTTTTGGAATATATGCAACATAAGCTTGATTCTGGGCAGAGGTTTCTATGGTTTAACTATAGCATTGTTTAGAAAGACATCCAATCCAAATGATGAACATCTCAGCTTTGTCTGATCTTTATTTGTAGAAGGCAAATGCCAACTTTCACAGAAGTCAGACTGCATTTTGAAATTAATCCTGTTCCAATGCAATGAATTTTCACCTGCATATGGTTGAGGAAGCTCCTGTTTATGTATATCTTTGCAACCTGGAAATTCCAGCAAGAATAATCCCATTGGCGTTCTAGTAAAATGTAAAACCTAATTCACTTGGAAGGCAGAAAGGAGCTTAAGTTCCACTACAACACTTCATACATCACTACCTTGACTTTTTTTTTTTTTAATATATTTTCATGGCTGAATTTAGCTCCATCTTGCTACACATATGCTATTTTCCAATGGTAAAAACTTGATTATGAAGTTTTGCCTTGTCCTGGTTTCAGCCAGGATAGAGCTGGTTTTCTTCACAGAAGCCAGTGTGAGACCATGTTTTGGATTTGGGATGAGAAACTGTTGATAACGTGCTGATGTTTTGGGTTGTTGCTGAGCAGTCAAGGACAGTCCAGCTTCTCGTGCTGGCCTGCCAGCGAGCAGGCTGGGGGTGCACAGGGAGCTGGGAGGGGACACAGCCGGGACAGCTGACCCAGGCTGGCCAGAGAGATGTTCCCTACCATATGACGTCATGCCCAGTACATAAACTGGAGTTGTCCTGGGGGTGGAAATCGCTGCTCGGGGATGGGCTGTCGATCGCTGGGTGGTGAGCAATCGCTGTATTGGGCATCACTTGTTCTTGTACATTCCTTTGTCGGTATTATTATTGTTGTTATAGTTGTTTCCTTCTCTCTTTCTGCCCTATTAAACTGTGTTTATCTCAACCCACGAGGTTTTTTTCTAATTCTCTGCCCCGTCCCACTGCGGGAGGAGGAATGAGTGAGCGGCTGTGTGGTGCTTAGTTGCCGGCTGGGGCTAAACCACGACATGCCTTTATTTTGTGGAGGCTGGAATTCTTCTCAGGATATGCCTGAAGCACATGTTCTAAGCCAAATAAAACTAAACATATCCTTAAAATTAAGTTGGTGCTTACCTTCTATGCTTAATAAAAATGAATTAAGCTTGCACTTAAGTATTTGTTGGGATTGAAGTCTGCTTGCTGAGTTAGAGGATACAGTTTTTTAACAGTCCTTTTCCTACTAACACAGATGGAGCATTCAAGTGTCCTGATTGCTCACATGTCCTCATGATCTGTAGCCAGGATTTGGTATGCATTTTTTTCATTCAAACAGAACAAGACTTCATCTGGAAAGCAGCAGATGGAAGGAAAGGATCTAAGTTTTTAATCCTTTTTTTTTTCTCTTTTCTAAACAAACATTGTTGAGATGATCGAGCTACAGAGCCACAAATTCAACCAAAAAGTGGGTAAGAACATATATACAAACCTATGTTCATATTTGGTATATGGTTAACCAGACAGGCTACAGTCACCTACTGCTGACAGGAATATCCACTTTGCATATGATGGAGATGACAGGATTTTTAAGATTACTATAGATGAGTAATTTAATTTTGTGAACTCTTTTGATTTCTCATTCAAGAGAAGTGCTAACCACAACACTGATACTTACTTTAACAACAGTCAAATGGTACATCACAGGACCAGGAAGTTGGCCAACAGCAAGCAGTAAAGTATATGGAAGGGAATTTTACGGAAAGGAGGGGAAGTTTATACCGTATGGCTCAGTTTGGCAGATTTCAGTTTGGGGCAATAATCTCACTGACAACTGTCAGGTGAGATACTAAATGCATGGAAGAGTAATTGTATAGGATAGGATTTACTGCTGAGTTAAGAAGTGATAGTTTTCTGACTTTAATTCTCAGCAAAATATAAGGCTATTAAATTAGAATTGCAGAACATGCTGATCTCATCATGGTGGTCATGATGAAGTAATTCTGATTTTGTCAGTGATATATTTATTAATGTCTCTACATCTTTAAAAAGAAAATTCAAGACTTGAATACCAGTTCATTCGAAGTAAACCGTAAATGAGTCGTGCTTCATTTATATTTTTTGTAAAACACCCTAGTTAAATTAAATATGCAAAACTTTGAAAAAGTTACTAATTACAGCTTATTAAAACTTGTTCTACCTAGTAACTTCCCTGTCGGAATTCAGTAATTATGAGCGAAGGGGATCTCAACAGGCACCTGTTTTACACTTGAAAGATCAGAATCATTGCTCTACAGTAACACTTTGTCTTCTGTAACATAAGTCAAAGGAAGAATTACACAGCAATATTTCTGTTGTCTTGTCTGGAAAGACCAGAAATGGAATTCATATTGGATAGGACAGGTTGTCAGTTGTACAGTTGTCACTGTACAAACACTAATCACTGCAATATCCATGGCCCTAAAGAAATAATGTAACATGCAAAATACCTACACTGAAACAGTATGTACCCTTTTTTGGAAAAAAATGCTTCCAGATCCTTAAATGAAGAATGTTTAACTGCAAACCATTATACTATATGTACTAAAAATCTTCTGGTACCATCTAGGTCATATTTGATTGACCATATGGAATACAAGTACTTAATTTTTTGCGGTATGAACAGACTACAGTAACAGAAAATAGTAATAGTCTGGCTAAAAGATGTAAAAGTTTGTGTTTTTTTAAATTCAAGAGGAAAATATATGTAAGGAAACTCACCCTGAATACTGAAGGGTCTATGATTCATTAATTTTTGTCCCTGACAAAAAAAAAACTTAAACCTAAAACAGTTAAACACCAGAAATGCCTAGAAAAGATTTTTGAGAGTAAGATCAAAGATAAACAGATGATATTATTAAAAAAGAGGTCAGAGAAGTCTTCTCATAATAGATGGAAATTCTCTTATTTGACATATTTCACGCTCCTTGTCTTTATGGAGTTTGACATTTTCCCAAGACTCTGGATTAACTTATGGACAGTCAATTGGAAATGTAGGTTTTTAAATGATGAATACAATCATTCATTTTATAAAACTGTCATAAACCCTACATAACATAGCTTTCTTTAGACAAAGTAAAAGACATTGCTTCCACCATGTTATACACGTACTTGTGGATTCCACCAAAACCTGTCTACGTTTTCTAAAGAGACCCTTACCTCACGAGATGCCAGAAAGACAGAAGTAAGAGGGACAGATGACAACATAAACATTTCATAGTAATGTAGGTAGACAGGAAAATAAATTTTAACTATTTAAATAAACCAAAACTACAATTTCTGTATTTTAAAAATAGATAGCAAAATTCTCTGTAGGGAACTTGCCAGAAAAAGGGCTCAAGAAAGATGTAAGAATGGAAAAGTAAGGATGGCCTACAGAAAGCTATTTTGATACAAATGAACTAAGGCCATAACTTTATCAGATTTGAAGCAAGGAGACAGAATGGATTAATTTCACAAGCATGAAAGGGAAAGCTACATGGCAACATGGAAAATGAGAACAATATAACAAAATGAAAGAAGGAATTCTGGTGCAACTGTAGGATCACATAACCTTGTACAGCTCCTAGCAGCCCATCACCATGACAAAAAAGATAATAACAGAATTATAGAATAATGGAGGTTGTAAGTGACCTCTGGAAGTTGTCTCATTCAATCCACAGGAAGAAAACAAAACAAGAAAACACAGAAAGTACAACAAAACCCCTGCAAATAATTGCAACAAAAATGACAACATGATACAAAGGGGAATAGATGGGCAAGTACAGGATGAGAAAATGGATAACCGTGTTGATAACAATAACTTTATTAAAAACTATGTAATGGGATAAAAGCCAATCCAGAACAGATTTCTGGTTAAGATCTAAACAGTAAGCCATTCAAGTGGGAACAAAACAAGAAGCTTCCAAGGCAGTTACAAAAAATTGTCTAAATAGTTTCATAATATTCCCAGAAAACATTATGATGTGCAGAGAACAAGGCTGGATTCACTTCACAAGACAAAATGCTGCTTTAATTTAGCATTTATCATGATGACAAATTATAAACACTCCAGTCAACTTTCAAAGGTACTGTGTGGAAGACTTCGTGCTAACAGGATTTTTGTGCTCTGCTTTTGAGGAAGGGAGGAAAAGATGTAAAACAATCATAAAACCGTAATAATATTTCATTCCATTTTCCTGATCTCCAGTCAAGTGAGTGTTCTTAGACATTAGGCATTAATCATATGCTGGTAAACCAAACAGTTCTGGTTTGAAATCCTCCATGGAGTTCAGCAGTAGTGTTGCCTCCTTTTTAAGATCTGGATTTAATTTTTCATCTGGAATCATAACCACTTGCTTCCCGGCTGCCAATGCTCCTTTGACTCCAAGTGGTGAATCTTCAAACACGAGACACTGAGAAACAAAGAGGTGAGGGGGAAAAATGAAAGAATAATGTTACTATGAACTTTTAATCTTTTTTTTAAAGAGAGAATGATCTTGAATAAAACTTAGTAGGAAAGATAAATTGAATTCCTGGTTTAGACACCCCTAATTAGAACAAGGGCAAAACTCTCAGTTCGAACATTTGCATGGTAATTAAATTAATTTCAATTAAAAAAAAATCAACATGCATACTTTAATCCCAGCAACTGGTTATCCAGATGTATCTAAGTTACTTGTTTTATAGGGATGGGTTTAAGCACAAGCCTAAAGTTAAGCAAGTGCTTAAATACCTTTATAAGCTGGCAATTTAACTCTTTAAGACCAACTTTACAACCTGCAAAATGGCAAAAGCAGTGCTTTCACTTACAGGTGTGGCATTTTCTACATACACAAGGGGGGAAAGACTACACTACCTCGGTCAATATTAGGACATTGGATGAGTGGACAGTAAGACAGAAGTCACTTGTCGGAAGAGTGCTGTTGAATTTGTGCTCTATTTGCTTAATTCTTCCAAAGCAATGGTAAGAAAGAAAATCAGCAATTATATTGGAAGGTTACTTTTAAAGAAGAGACAGATTAGTCAGGTAAAAGCTCCATGTCTTACAATAGTCATAATCATTCAAGATCATAGTTGGGAAGCAAAGTTGTTAAAAAGAATCAATATTTTATTTATGTGATTTTTGTAATTTAACATCAGAATATTGAATAATAAATATAACATTAAAAAAACTATGACAAATCATCTAGTCCTAACTTTTATATAATAAAAAATAATGCTTGTGGAGTTCATTCCAGAATGTGTATAATGAAGCACCTCTTCCTGACATTACCCAGTCCTGAGTTTGAATTTTTGGTCATGGACAATCCAAAGCAAACTTTGGCATCCAACCATCCAAAAAATTCTGACCTACACTGAGAAGTGGTTGCTAACACTTCTGCTTTCAGACTGCATTTAATATCAATATTACTAGCACTGCTACTACTACTAATACCAAAATTACTGCCACAAGTAATTTCAATAATTCAACACAGAAGCTGAGACAGTTAGTGCAATTTTCCCCACACCCTTCAGACAGTGCAACTCTGCCTTATCACAAATTTCTCGCATGCATTAAGCCCTTCTCTACAATCATTATTGATCTACCAAACCCCTTCCTACATACCCAGGATGGATTTTCTTATCCTTTTCTTCACAACACAATAGACTACAGCAACTAACATGGAATGGGTAAGAGTAATGATTTGCTAAACTTAGTTTAACTTTTGACCGAACCCAGATATGACACACTGGGAGAACATACACCAGCATACTGCATCTTTTAGGCTCTCTAACACACAACTATTTCACCAGGAAAGATTAGGGTTACACAACATTTGCCTGCTCTGGCTGTGCTCTAGGAGAACCAAGTTGCAACTGGCAAAAACTTTATTATGTTCAAAGAAAACATTTTTGCAAGATGTATTAAATGTCTGCACTACATATATACCTATCCGTATCAGAGACTGTGGAAGAGGGAGTGAACCCTTTCTTTCTGCTTTCTTTTCTTTTTAAAATATTGATTCTGGCCCGTCAACATGTCAGCAACCACTTGGAGTCTGCCAATAGAGAGTAAGAGGTGTTTTCTACCTTGCACATAATAAAGTAAAACTTAATTAATGATTTTTAGTGAGCCAATGGAATCACAACAATCTCTTTTGTGCTCATTTCCTTTGTACAGTCACCGAATTCCAGTTTGAACAATGTGGTATTTTCAAACGTGGATCATTATCAGTATTACTAACTACAAATATGTAACCAGCTGATCCTGCAAAGCTTGGAACAATTGCTGTTGGAATGGCAGCACGGCTCTGCCTATAGGTTTTGTTCTTAACAATACCTTAGTTTGTGACCCTTAGCACTTTGAGGACTCTGAGGACAGTAAATGAAACCTTGACAGGCTTTGCCTTTTGAAGAGTAAGCTTAAATGTTGCACAGAACAGCATTATCAAGGCCTTTCAGAAACCTTTTCTAATCCAGCCCATACAAAGAAATGTACTTTACTGCTCTGCCTTGAAAGGCCTAATTGACTTCCATGATGTCGCTAAGCTTACTGTACGACAGGAGCTGATGATTATAGAAGGCAATATGCGTAATGAAAAGCTTAACTAATTCCCTGGAACTAGAAGCAATTAAAACTCTTAATTACCAAAGAAGCCAGGCAAATGACCCACAATTGCAGTGGCTTTAATGTTACAGGCAATAAGTGTACTAGGTCTTCCTCCAGTCTTTCTTGCTACTGACACTTACTGTCAACAGCACAGCAACATTTTTAATGGATGATGAAAGTTTTACAGAGGTTCACATACAAAATGGATTTATTAACTTTGCTGCACAGAGATGTTATAAACTGTTCACTGTCCTGGCCCACCCACATACTAAATTTAGAGATATGAAAGTAGCCAAGTTCTTCCCCATTTTGCATAAGTATTGCAACATCAGCATCACTCCACTGAGAGAGACAGATGAGATTTATACAGACTTCAGCTGAGATTCTGGCTGCTTCTCTGAATTATTTCTAAAACTTGTGTCACTGATCAATATTACTGCTATGAGATCTCTCAAAAGGTCATATTAATATAAGACAGTTTTCACTTTGGAATGAACTAGATGCTTAAAAAAGTAAAGTAGTAAAGCATACTAATTTATATTTCACTCTATGAACCTAGAAAAAGAAAAATTAATCACTTAACCAAGGGAAGAAATAATAAAATCACTGCAGCACCTCATTACCTCCTCCTCCTACATGCAATTTAAGAATATAAGAAAAGAGTGTTAGTTAGGGCCTTGGTATGTACAGCAGGCCCTCTCCAACCTATATACTGTAAATGTCCAGATGGAATATTTACATAACTAACAGGGATATCCATAAGTGTTATTCCTACTAGTGATAACCAAGGAGTTTGGAAGGATAAAATATTAAAATCAGTTTTGAAAATAAGATTTTGAAAAACATGTGAAAATAATATATATGCATGGGGAGTGCCATCGAACAAATATCCTGAGCACATATGACACTACTGTATCAACTCTAAAATGGAATAAACGGTGAGACTAAAGATGGCATAATTTATACACATGGAACTCATCTGCAAATTAAACATTACCATCTATAGTTCTATAGGTTCTATACCATCAAGATTCTATAGAGTAAGAATGAAAAGAGAATGTTCATCATCTTTAAAATGGCTAAATATAGCCTCAAGCTCTTTCATACTGTATTAGAAAAATCTACTGTTTGCTGGTTCTGGTCTGGTTAGGCCCTTAATCTCAGTGACTAAACCACACATTTTCGCGCTTTGTCTTTGAACCAGAGCCTTACTGGTAAGGGTACCAAGTATTTCATTCCCTTTGATAAAAGAGTGAGAAGAACAAGAACTAAGTATTTGTTAACTCCTTCCTTTTCTCCCTAAACAGTTTTTTAAATATATTACTATTTTTATATTGTATTCCCCATATGCTCCCTAGAAAACAGCTACTATGGAATTAATGAGAAAATATCAAACTTCAGTTTAACATTTTTTTCTATCTTCATTGTAACATTTAGCTTGTAGTCTGTTGAAACTGAAGCCAACATGATTAAGTCTTTCACTGGGCACTGAGTAAAAAACTTCAGTCTAGATACTCTTACACAGAACTAAGTTATTGCCCTGGCCTTCTGAGGAACTACTCACAGAATGACTCTCCCACCATGCATAAAACCCCAGTTCAAAACCACTGCATATATATACTCTGACTTAAAAAAAACCCAAAACCCACAATAAAATCAAAAGTCATTCTGGGGAAAAAAGCGGTTAAAAAATAAAGAATAATAATTAATTTTTTCTTCCCTCCTGTGAATGAAAGCAAAAAGGCAAAACAGTGGAATTTTGAGGTTTCAAATCACAGTTTCAAAAAGGGCTGGTAAGACCTCCGAGAGGTTATTCCTATATTCATTCTCCAACTTCTGAACACGACCAGTCTCTTTCTGTGCTTGGTGAGAAGAGACTGTAGAAGATTATTGTATCTTCTGTCTTCAAATGACACAGAAACATTTGGTATCAGAAAGTGATGTATTATGTTTGGGGCTTCTTATGGATTGCACCTTATACTTCTGTAACTTTATTTATCATTGATTTTTCTCCTTCATGATCAAATCAACTAGTCAAATGTGTGACGTGTTATTTCTAAAATTTGCACTCTGGAAACACCTGCTAACCTTACACATTAATTTATGTATACATGCACAATACAGTCTTCTATAAACATTTAAGCTTGACTCAAATCGCATCATATCACTAAAAAAATCCCCATTGATTTCAGTGGGCATCAAAATGAGCCTCGAAAGAGGCTACAGGAAGAAATCCACCAAGTACAGCCAACTCACATTGATTTCAGAACGACAGTGCTCATCTCTGCAAACCAGAAAGCAGTCAGGCTTTTAATTTCTACAGGTAGCTTGTTGAATGTTCACTTCCAAAGTATTTTTACTTTCCTCATTGTGAAAACTAGTTCATACTCTGTGGTCATAATCCAAAACTAAGTTGTATTTAAGAAATAAATTATCATTCTGAAAGATACTACTACTGCAATCACGGTTTTTATTTTGTTCAACAATTTTTATCTCTTTTTCTTCGCTGACTCAATTTTTTCAGATTTTCAAAATAATTGAAACTAACTGTGTTACTAGTGTGAGTGACCCAGGAATTTTAAGAACCGTAATATAATTTAGAATACAACACAGACCCATCTATATCCCTTACAAAATGCTGAGATGCTGAAAAGATGCTGTTTATCATTTATGGGAGGTGGTGGAAATTCATGAAAAGAGAGAGTAAACACCAACAACTTCACTAACATGCCCGTAACACAGATGCTGGGCTATTTTTTAGGTAACGTGTTTGCTTTTTTCCTATGTTTTAATATACAAAGTATCTAGAAACAAGGGGAAAAT